TGAGCAAAGAAATAGGTAGTGAATGAGGAATCATCTTGGAGATATCTCAGAAGTATTTACTTCTGCTCTTATTTGACGGTGTTTTTGGTGAAGCAGTGAGTCAGACGTCTGCAGCTTCAGTAACCTCAGATGTTAACCCTGTTATTTTCCTCAAGAAGAAAACATTAAGCAGACCTTGACCTCTCTCCTGTCCTTTAGAAAATGCCAGCATCTGATGGTGCTTTTAATAAGCAGAGGAAGCTTTGTTTTTAGCGTTGGTGCTGAAGGATGCAACTCCAGCTTTAATTCCCTCTTTCTGGGTTTAATCTTGCAGGTTATGTGAGTGAGCGAGGGTAGAAGGTTGTGCTCAGCAGTCATCTCCAGCAGATACACCCAAGAATGTGGGTAATGGTTTTCTAGAGCTGCAGGTTTGAAGCGTTCGCAGATTTCTAGGAGAGCACAGCTTCCGTCATCAGTGAGTGTCCTGTGGTCTGGCAGGAGGAATCTCCTCTCGATTTTGGCAAAGTAACCTAGTCTTGGAGGTGGAGGGGGAAGCACCCTCCTAGTGCAAGGGATCTGTAGGAAGCCCAAGTCTCTGACTTCCTTCAAGCCTTCAGTCATGGTTACTCACTAAACCTGAAATAACAATTAGCTAGCAGTTTTCTTGTTATTCCTTTCCCCCCTGAATAACAGAGCTTGGAGCTGCTGTTATTTAACCTATTTAGAGCGTCTTTGCTGACAGGGACGTGCAGGATAATTCTTTATACGCGTCCAATGCGTTACAGTTATTCCAACAAAGGTCTTCAGGCAACAGCTGGGGCTGTGTCGGGCCTCTCCCTGCTTTGCAGTGCGCTGGAGAACCGGGACTGCTTGGGAATGAGCCTAGACCCACTGAAAACCCCTGACCTGTAGGAGCCGACCTCCACAGGGGCATTCCTTCCTGAAGGGCACGTTTCTGGGATGTTCGGGGGCAGCGTTGATCTCCAACTCACCGATGACACTGTCAGCCATATTGGTGGGGTTCTTATTTAGGGTGACACCGTAAGAGTGTCTGATCTAAGCAGTGGGTTCATGTCTTGGTGCCCATGTCTGCTTTCCAAGAGTTGTTTTATTGATCCTTTATGGGCTGTTGTTTTTCTCAGGGTTAAATGTAGGAAGGATGGCTGTGATGGGGCTGGAGCTTAGGTTCCATTACGTCTTCATCTACAAATGTGGCTTAAATGTCAAAGAACAGTGTCTTCTTCCTTCTGTTTGTTTGGGTCCTTTTTAGTATCTAGACATAATAGCACTAAAAATAGTTCATTGAGATTCTTTGCTAATCTTTGGGGAGGGTGTTTTGAACGGGGGCGTAAATGAGGCTTGATTTTCCATTATATAAATAAGTTTGTTTGGGAAATGAAAGCAGGAGAGCCTCCTAAGAAGATTAATAACTGTCTTTTGTACTGTGCGACCTGCCCGGCTACTGGGTCCGTGCAGCGTGATGTCCTCAAATGCCGAGGCTAATCGCCGCTCCTCTGAGCTCGTGCCTTTGGGTTGTTGTAGTGCTTCTGGTGCTTGCTTTGTAAGTCAGGTCCTAATTTTATCTCGTTACCCACGCAGCCCGATGACAGCGTGACACAGCAATGGAAAGGGGATGACATCAGCAGATGAACAGATGTGTGCAGAGCAGCAGCAGGGATTTCTTTCTTTTTAATTAAGAATAAGCCGTGTCAAGGTGTTCCTGCTTCTCAAGCTTGTAAATTTGTGCAGCGTGGTTGCTGTCGTGAACCGCCGGCTGCATGAGGCTGCTGACACCTTGGGTTGCTTTTGCAGGGTGACCGAGGGCTGCCCGTTTGAATGGGCAATGCTCTCCGTGTTCCAACACCTCCATACCTACAATCCCAGACACAGTAGTACTAAATCACCGAGAGTTTGCAGTGCTGTGGCTTTTGCGGAGAAAAGACGGGGTTGATCCCTGCGTTTAAAAAGAAAACCCAACTTGTAAGGCATCAAGAGTCATGTGTGAGGTGAGGAGCTGCTTTTTTATGCTAGCCATCCACTTTGAACACGAAGGAAAACTACCCATGAGTTAGGTGAATATCTGGAGGCAGGTGGAATCCCCTCAGCAGTGCTGGGAGTTAGGGGGGTGGTGTAAGACTAACAGATATTTGGATGGGGTGAGAGTGATACATGTATATTTGGTGGGAATTATATTATTCTGCCAGGATTTCTCTGTGTGGAGGGAGCCTCTTGTTTTGGGAAGTACATAGTAGTTCTAACAGCCACTGATGTTCTAACCTGAAGGATATTTTAGCTGCCCGTTACTTCGCTCCTTGGTGAGGAACTCCCCAAGCGCAGGAGTAGGAAGGAGCAAAATGGCCTGTGAAGGGCCTTTTTGGGACATCTTGATGGCAGAGTTTGAAGGATTCCTTCGAGGAAGTTTGCGTGTGTTGGGCAAATTAAAGAGGTGGTTGGTGCTGGGTGTTTTTTTTTCTGGCTGTGGAAACTGCGGGTTCTGGGGTCAGAGGATGCAGTTGGAGGAAGTCTGGCGTGTGTGAGGGTGTGAAGAGCTGTCCAGCAGTGCTCGGAGTCACTGTGACAGTCACGTTAATCAGCGTGTTTTTCAGATGCTGAGGTTGGCCTGACGCTGTGCAATTACAGGATCTTAGTCCAATGTACAGACCGCAACTTTAGCCCCAGGACTGGCCTGCAAAGCCACCAGGAATGTAGAAATGTGGCTTTTGTCAGCGCCATTCTTCCTCTGCCAGGAAGGAGAGAGGCGAGAGCAGAACGGAGCCTTACTTCTGACTGCCGCCTGCCTTTTGTGCCCCACGGTCCTCGCCGTGGGCTGTCGAGCTCGCCTGCCCTAGTCGAGTGGCTCAGCACCTTGGTTCTAGTGTTTCCTAGCCCTGCGTGGTGCCAAACACCGAGCGAAATGAGATGTTCTTGAGCGCGTTTTCCTCGCTCTCCGCCCCGTCTTCCTGTCGTCCCTCTCCCCAGTGCACTGAAGTATTTAACAAGGGATATTTAAGGAAGCTTCCTTCCAGTCCACCGCTTCCAGGAGGTCCTGGGGAGACACGACTATTTGAGTTTGGAAAAGTGTTTTAAAAGCTCTTCTGTAGCTGGATATAACCTCTTCTGGCGTGGCGCTGGCAGGCGGGCTAACCCCTTCCCCTTAATTTGACTTGCATTGTGTGCTGCCAGCTGCTCTGTCTCCATCCTTGCCGGGATATCCGTTTCCCTGTTGCCTGTTCCTGGACAGCCGTTCTTCTGTCTTTGTGGAAAGCTGATGCACATTTTCTCCGTCCTCCTGAGCAGCGTTGGGATGGGAGTTTCCTCCCAGTCCTCTGGAAAGAAACTGCAGGTGTGTTTGCCCGCTGTGGGAGGCTCTAGCTGTGACCTGGCCTTCGACTCAATGCCACATCAAGCTGGTTTTGGCCTTACCCATCACCCAGTGCCTCCCAGTACAGAGTTTGGTAGGAAATTCAGCCTCCCACCCATTGTTTATCTTCCCAAAATTGTTTATTCCCTCCTAGATGGAGGCAACCATGGTCTGTTGGCCCGTGAACTTGTGTGGCCAAGAGCAAACACTGTGATTTACCATCCTGTAGCGACTCGCCTTCATTCACTGCTTACTGGGGAATCGCCCTGCAAACCAGTTTCTTCACTGGGTTGCGCCTGCTGTGGTTTTTGACAGCAGCGTAGGCTCTGCTGGTAGCGAGCTTTCAGCAGAGTTAAGCAAACCATCCTGAAAAGTAGAGCAGCTGCATCCTGCCAGAAACTTGGAATTTCCTTCAGTATTGCCAGTTACTGGCTGGCGAAACTAGGACACTCAGGTAGTCGGGTTTTTTTTCCTTCTTCCTTGATGATTAAATAAAACACGTTGGTGTTTCGGAGGGTCTTTTAATAGCATCAGCAGTCATGAGAATCTAAAGATACCGGCAAGGTTGCCTAAAGAGAAGACGGGGGCTGAAAGCTGGCTTTATTTTTCTGTTCAGCAAGGTTTCTCTGCATAATTGCTCTGGTTGCCAAACGTTAACGCCTTTGCTAAGGTAGATGCAATCCTCGGACAGAAGTTGACATGCTTAAAGCCGCGCTCCGTTGGCATTCAGGGGTGGTTAATATGTCCTTCCG